GGCCCTTTTATTTTCCTTGGAAAGGTTCAGAATTATAATAACATCATGAAACGGGACAAGTTACAGAGCTTTTCATTTCAACTATTCTGGTTTAATTTCAGATGCATCATTGAATTTAGTTCCGTAAGTTGAACCAACCATGCGTACTAACATACCAAATGATCATGTTCATAGCCTAAAGAAAATCCATCTACGGTAGATTTCCTACCAGGCGATCCCTTGTCTTCATAGTGTGGGCTTTTCTAGGTGGATCTTTTGTCATTTTCTCTGCTAACTTTAGAGATTGTTTGAGGATTCTATCTTCATCTCGTTTATTTTATCCTTTTTTTTGCACTTTTGGGGCGTTTTTGGGAAGGGGTATAATGCTGACTAAATTATTTCGCAAGTAAGGGATAATTGTATGATTTGGTTTTAAGTATTCACGGCACGGTCGCCTAAAATATGAAGGTATCTTTCGATCTCAGACTGGTCTGATGCTAAATGAACATATGGTTCATGTAGGACATAAATAATGGAGGTTGCTCAAGTTTCTACAAGCGAAATGACAAATCTGAATGAACTTGCCAGGGCTGAGGAATTTGACACAGACGCTTAGCTATTGGTTGCTCAATGCTCAGACACAATAACGTATGGAAGGATAGAGCATCCCCGAAATAGCCCAATAGGTGGCCTGTGTCAGGGAACGCCCTCCGATATATCTCCTTCGAATAAGAACAGATCAAGGAGATGTCTCCCTATCCAGCCCCTTTCAATATCAAACCTTACATATACGAATGAATATAAAAAAAGAATACAACGTAAGGGTTCGGTTATCATTTCATTGATGTTTCTCCTTCCCGATGGCTTTGACAGCCCGAGAAACATGGCTCATCTCACGGCCCGTAGTACGGGAAGCCATTGAACGGTTTTCGGGAAGTCTGGTTCTCTGTTGCTGCCCGTGTCTCGAACACCGAAAAAGCGGTCTCGTTGAAACTCCAGATTGATGGCCTCTCTGCGATCTGTGTAATGAAAGGCGGTCACTTCCAAAAAGTGATTCGTGCGGAATTCAAGCTAGCAAATATCCCACGGATCTGGTATCTGGGAATGGCTTGAAGTCACCAACACTTGAACTGCAGTCCCGAAAGAAATCAATGTTTCTTTTTCGTCTCTCGCATCCTGCTTCATGCATAATGTGACAAGATCGGAAAAAGATCAATGTGGAAGTCCAGCTTTGGGGATACAAGCCGCCCGCGGGGAAAGCTGCCGGTAACACAGAATATGAAGGCGTATTAAGCAACTTCCCCAGCCGCTCACGCCTTGTCGGCCAAGCGCATTGAAGCCCAATCACACGACAACTGACTTTTTTTTGTCCTTCCAAGACCAGTTGCAACATGACCGGGATAAGGAATCATGAGAAGATATGAGAGATCAAGCACAGCTTCTTGTTTCGGGTGAGGTTGTGTGGATAAATTCAAAGTGATGTTATGTTGGAAAAGAGGAAAGAGGGAAGCGAAAGATACGGCTGATGCACGGCGTCGTCAGAGGCTGCCGGGGCCACGAAAATGAACGCTCGAGAAAATAATAACAAATAAGAAATAATAAAATAAAATAAAATAAAATAATGGATTTTAAAGGGGTATCAATTTGGAATTTGAGGCAGGCAAACATAAAGCTGAATAATGAGCATAGAGGAGGCAATGCAGAAGTGAATGAGAAGTGTAACAGATGGACGTTGCCTTTGCCATGTTTGGAAAGGCGGAGAAAGTGGAGGTGACTCAGCAAAAGAGTCAACGAAAAATGAGTCGCATCGACTCATTTGCAGTACCACTACTAGAATTGCCACTGCCACTGAGATTCAAACACAAATACACTACTCCGAGGAGCCATCTGATCAATTGAAATTTATATGCGTATCAGCTTTCTCGATCATTCTCGGCCCATTACTAATCCCTCAAGACGCTCTCCTAAAGACGTCGTCGGATTGTAACGAGGGTCTCGCCTTTACGATCTTCAACCCACCGCCAGTTGATAGGCACCTGCACCTGCACCTGGACCGGCACCGCACCCCCACCAAACGGCACATCCCCATCATACTCCACTATTGTCCCTCGTTCTCTCCCCTATCGCGGGGAGCCACTCACCACAACTACAACATCATTCAACATCAACACCAACACCAAGATCAGCACATCTCCGCCATCACAAACATGGTCTCCTCAACACAACTACCACCCCCAGGTCAGCAGTCGTAACTCTCCTTCACCGCTTTCCCTTCTCCCCATCTATATCCTCGTTTGATGCATGGCACAAGGTTGCAATGCAGACTATCCTGATAACATGTCCGTGTTGATGGGGGTCATCTGCTCGCTTGACTGATGCGTTGGCAGTTGTTGCAATCGGCCTTCCTTCCGCCTCTCCCGCTGCTAAGCAGCCGCCAAAGAGCAGGGTTTGTCGTTATTTCCGCAAGACAGGTATTTGTTTTTTTTATTTTCCACTTAATATTTCTATTCGTTGGGGATAGCCTCCTATGCAAACCCACTGGCCTGCAGACGGGCGTGTTGTGCAGCATGCTTTGTCAATCCCGTGATTTAGCTCGAGCCAAGCATAAGAGCGGTGCACAATCGTGGAAATGACTGTTGGCATGGCTTTTGTCATGAGGAGGCGGTGATACACAATTGCTCAACCCAAAGTTACACTGGGCGGAAACACAAGAGACCTTGGGGCTGGCAGAGGTCATACAAATTATCATCGCTGATACAGTTTTAGGAACATGTCGAGCGGGCGACAACTGTTCATATCTACATAGTAATGAGAAGTTTCAATCCCAAGTAGGACATGGAGAGAGCTCGGATTTAGTCCAAGATAGACGTCAAGCAGTGACTCAGCCCATTGCTTCACGTATTGTACCAAAGCCTGTTTCACAAGTCCAACCCCAAGATCCCCGCGAATACCAACTTGGACAATTGCGAAGACGTTTCTCGCCCAAGGAACTCAAGCAGCCAGATGGCACCACGATACTGAAATTCACCCTGACACCTTCTGATCCAGATTTCCCTTTTGAGATGTCAGCATTGGAATGCAGTTTATACGTTCCACCGGGATACCCGAGAGATATCGTATCCTTGAAGGTTGGCAATAAAGAAATACCGAGAGGTTTTGCTTTGAATATCGAATTCGGCTTCAGTAATCTGATTGATCATCCGCCTAACAAAACACTTTTAGAGTTGGTAAAAGCACTTGACAAAAACCTGGAATCATTTCTATCGGCGCCCAAGGCAGATACGGTGAAACTTGTGCCCAATAAAGATAGGCGGCATCTTTTGACAACACCCGCGCGTTCGGTTGAGCCAGCCACTGCATCAAGCAAGGCTGATAGTCTGCAGCCTATGCAGTCAGCAACAACGGTCTCCACAAAATCAAATGAAGCTGCAGCAAAACCAGTTGTAATTTTTACTGCGCAACAGAAGGCTGAAGCATCCAAAAGACGAGAAAATGAGGTCAGACAACTCGAAGCGAGGATGGGTCGCCTCCCCCTTTATCGAAAGTCAGCTGATGGGATCGCTTACACACTTCCTGTTGAACCTCGAAGACGTTCGGAACTTCCCACAGCCATACAAGCTGTAAAGTCTGTACGGCTGTTTGTTCCATTGCTCTATCCATTACAGTCATGTCGTATTCAACTAGAAGGAGTTGACCTAGATGACTCTAAAGCTGTGGAAAGGGGTTTTGAGCTGAGGACAAGCGAGCAGAAAGAGACAACACTAATGGGCCATATCAATCATCTTGCACAAAATATGCATGTTTTTGCAAAGACCATTCTTGAATCAAAGCCCATTACTGCAACCATAGTCTCACGACCGGCCATGTCAGAAACAGCCTCGTTGGACAAAGGAAAAGGGGTCGAAGGTCAGCAAGACACCGACCGAAGTCACATTCAATATATTGCTCGACCTCCTGAATGGACAACCTTACATCATGAAGAACATTCAAACTCCGAGTCCGACTTCTATGATTCATATGACTCGGGAGATGATGACACGGACGAGGCCAGCGGCGCCGACATCCAAGCTGAGGATGAGAAGCTTTCAGTAAGTAATGTGCAGTCTCGTAATGACCAGCAACGCGGAACAGCAATATCATTTCCTTTCATTGAGCTCTATGGTATCGAGTTGATGGAACTCGTGACACTTAATGTCACTATCAAATGTGAGAGATGTAGGGATATCATGGAAGTAAATGGACTTAAGAATGGCGTTCCAAAGTCAGAAAGCTGCAAGAAATGTGCTAGCACTCTTACTATCAACTTCCGTCGAGATTTCGTTCACGCACATGCCGTTAGAGCAGGATTCTTGGATCTGGAAGGCTGTGCAGCCATGGACATGTTACCTAGGTAATTAGCCCCCCCTTTTTTTCGGCACACTCGCTAATAGCTCTTAGTACATTCATCCCCACTTGTTCAGGATGTTCTACCACCTACCCACTACCAGGAATAATATCAGTCCAAGGGGAAACAACAAGCAATATCTGTCGAGAGTGCCACCAAAAGTTCACCTTCAAGATCCCGCAAACCAAATTCCTCCGCATTTCTCAAACTGATCGCCTCCCACCGTCAATTGGACCACGCAAGAAGAAAGAAGTCCTCGGTCTGGTTGCTGGTACCGAGCTACCCAAGCGAGGTCGTTGTCGACATTACACCAAGTCATTCCGTTGGTTCCGATTCTCTTGTTGTCAGAAGGTGTATGCTTGTGACAAATGTCATGATGAGGGAGAGGAGCATCCTAATGAGTGGGCTAATAGGATGATTTGTGGATGGTGTAGTAGAGAGGGGAATTATCGACCGGAGGATTGTGGGTTTTGTCATGGGGTTTTGACTGGGAAGAGGGGTGGTGGATTTTGGGAGGGTGGCAAGGGAACTAGAGATAAGGTTAAGATGAGTAGGAAGGATAAGAGGAAGTATCGGAGAATTGGTGGTTCGAAGAGTTGAAGTTGAAAGATGTCTAGAATGGTGATTGACGTTATTTTGATTCGTGTGAAGGGACTATATTGAAACTGTTATTTGTATTAATAAAATGTATCACTTGAATTTAATAAAAATAGGAGACATGATTGCCATGGGTTCTTGTCGATATTATAGTTCTTTAATCTACAGAATACTACTCACTCCATTCTGCCATTCTGCTTTACTTCTTTCAAGCAGTACGATATCAAATTCAATTCACCATGGAGTCAGAGATTTGTACCTACCTCTCAAAAACACAAAAGAAGAAGAAGAAGTCACATGCCTTATCTGTGAAAGCCTCTCCCTATTACATTTCATCATAGCGATTCGCCCAAGTCAGTTGCGAGTATCAAAGTCATGTATACTCAATACATCTGCGCTAACTAACATTCTCACCATTCTCATCTCTGCATAACCACCTCCCCGCATCTCTCGAAATCTAGACCTCTCTCCACATACTAGTATCTCTCTCCACGATCTTTCTCACATCTCACATCTCACACATGTCTCACAGGTAACCCGAAACAAACCCATCCTCCCTCCCTCGCCAAGCCAAGCCCATCAAGATCAAAACCAAAATCAAAATCAAAAATCAAATTAAAAAAAAAAAATAGCATAGGCCATCCATTCCCCGTCTTCCCCAGCATTCCATCTGTCGCCAGCCACCTCCCGGAAACATCCCTGGACCACCCACATCCAATAACGAACCACTCCCTTCGCTCGGCATCCCGAGTTGTCGGGCACATGAACGCCGACCGATCGGATCGACGTACGTGCCTCCTGTACCCATCCAGTAGAAGAATGAAAAGAAAAAAACCCATTAATAAAAATGAGACCTTGCCTGGGGGGAAAGAACCGAGCAGCTGGGTGGGTGGCTCTGCTTTTTTTTTTTCGATTTGCGGAAGATGATACGCGGTGTGGTGATCGATGGTACTGTATGCATCTATACACGTATGTACTGCAATAAATCTACTCGTACTTGGAGTCCAAAACTCCGAAACAAAAAAAACAACAATAACAATATTAAAATAATAAAATAGAATATTCGGGGAAACGATCGAAATAGGAAATCCATATCTACAAATCAAGTAACAGTTCATCCATTCACATGCAATAGGTTCGGAATGCCCTTCCACTTCCACTTCCACAGGTATACCTGCAAACAGTTGGTCGGAAGGGTGTACTGTACATACAGTATAGTACTTACCAAGTGATAATATGTCTTTCTTCATTTCAATACCGTATATGTAAGTAAGGAAAAGATTTTCTTTGTAGACGGATTTAAGAAATTACCTCCGCATGAAGAAATCTCTCTTCTAACATTTCAATTTCTTATCACTTATTTGTCATTTCTAATTCATTCAATTTTTCTGGGGGGGGGGT